GGGTAATAGATTGTGTTTGTGAGCGGACAGTATATTGATCTGTACATGGATCTTCCATCAACACGAGTAATAAGTTACACCCATAATGGCATCATTCATCCCTGTCTCTCTACAGATTAAGTCTTGGACTGCAGCAGCTCAAACATGTGCAACCCTTCTGCAGTCCATCTAAGATAAATTCCACATCATTAGATATTATCTAGATAAATCTATCAAATTTCAATATAATGCTTGCTACAGTAGACCAGTGTTGAATTCACCTTTCTGAAAGATGAGGCCATTCTGTAGTGGGCATATCAAATTATGAGTACAGATTGTGTAAAACAGATTTGCCAAATTTTTCAAAACCAAAACAGGATCACCAACGTTATAACATCAGATTACATAATAAAAAACAAAATTACCTAAGCTGGACAGGTATTGGTTTATTGTATATATGTTAAGACTCTCTACTTACTGATTACCGAATCCGGAATATCCTTGGGAAATTCGGGAAGTTGGCAAGCTTGGTGAAACGGTGGGGACCTTGACCAATGCACACACGAACACATATACACAGGCACCCCCCCCAAAAAAAAACAACAACAACAACACACAAACACATTCACACACACATACACATACATCATATACATATACACACATACATTTACACACACACAAACAGACATACACACATACAAACATATATACGCCCCCCACCAAAAACAACAAACACTGCCTGCCCGACGAAGTGTGTGCTCACACCAAGCTACCTGATCAGCAGCAGACGGCTGAAGGGTTCCAGCAGATTGTTGTAGTTCTCCGGAATCACTTCCTGCTCAGGCGCAGACTTGTCGAACCAGTTCTTCCAGCTCTTGTCGTTGTTACAAACCTGGGGGGAACAGACAAACACAATGTCTTGGTTAGTTGTAAGTAAAAGGTTCACGGCACTTGCAACACAACTAGGTCATATATATGCCGAATATTAGAAGTGTTACAAGAGAATGAGAAACACAAAAAAGGGGGAGCGATAAATGAGCTAGATGTTTGATAGGAAAGAATGAGCCAACCACACTAGAGCACCCGCCAACCAACAGAAACGCCTTCACAAACACAACGCCTCGACCGACTCGATGCAGTAGCTGGCTCTATGATTGAGGAGGTCAATGCAAGGTACACAACTGGCGTTAAAAGTGAATTGTTTTTTTATATGTGTGTGTGTGTGTTTGTTTTTGTTTTCGTTTTTTTATATGTGTGGGAGTCTTTTGGGGTTTACTTATCATCATCATCATCATCAT